TATATCGCTGAACAAACCCTGAGTCGCCGCTGCACTCACGCATACCGGAGTAGCAACCCAAAAGGCCATTCAATTGACATATGGTGTCGAGCATTGGCTGTAGAGTGTTTGTGGCTAACAGCTGAGTAACGATCCATATTTGCCTACCTCATTATACGTCTCTTTATATGCGGACGAAAAAAGAAAAACGGTGTATTGAGACAAGGGTTGAGCCACAGATAACAGTAGTACAGTACTACTGTTATCTACAGTACTACTGTTGTTAGTACTACAGTACTTACAGTACTACTGTTATCTGTGGTTGAGCTTATCAGTCCTTTGGGGAAAGGCAGTGGGAGCTGAAGGGATAGGTAATGCAGCCAGGAAAGAGCCCGAGGGAATTCTCGCTACACCAAATGTTTATGTTTTTGTGTCTTCACGACTCGATCGAAAAGAATGGAGCGATTTCCTATTGTTAAAAAAAGCAAAAAAAAAACCGTGATGTTGATACAGTGAGCATGAAGAGATGCACAGGAGCGAATTCATAAGCGATGAAGCCCTGCTGATGTTTTCATTCTCTTGAAAAAAGTTAAAAATAGTTTCAGCAAAATGAAAGGGATGAAATCCGCAGGGTTTTCTGTTTTGTATGGTTTGTTTTCTGCCAATTTGTTTATCGATTTTGAACATCTTAGTTGCTTAATGCTTATCTTCTCCCATTGTCATGACCTGAGGAAGGACCACGCCCTGGTATATATATTTTTTAATTCTTATAGATATGAGCAAGAGCCAAGAGGTTATTTTTAATCCTTTTATTAATCATATTAACAATGCTTAACTCAGCCTTTTAATACCTGAAATCAGAGGGACCATCTAGTCAATTATGGACTTTTGAGCACGCAGCGGAGCCCTCTGAGTTACCAAAGGTCCCCTGAATGTTTGACTGATGACTTCTGAATGTGTGACAGTCTTCTGAGAGCAGAGGCCAGTTTCACCAACAATAAATAGATGGTTGCGTTATTTTTTTGACAAAACGATAGTTTCAAAATGTCATTTACTGCTGAAAATACTAATCGCTGACTTGAAAAATATAACAACTTAGCATTCAAGTGCTATATTATTTGGTCAGCAATTACTTTTTTCACCTGTAGGATTTATAGACTATCATTTTGTCAAAAATAATCGCAACCGTCTATTTTTTGTTGGTGAAACTGGTCTCCTGGGCAATATTTTATGTTTTAGGAAAATAATCTTTGGAGACAACGGAGCGCATGACTTTAAGCGGTGAAAAGGCCCCCTGAGCCATTGATGCTTGTAAACCAATGAAGAGTTATTGAACGCGTGGATGGGGGCATCTTGGGATACCAAGGTACCCATGACACCGACGGGGCATTTGAGCATTTGAGGCTTGAGATCTGAAAGAAGACCTCATGAGAACGTGGCGGAGTCTCCTGACTCCTGAGCCCTTGGCGCGAAACATTTGAACTAATATGTACCAGTAAAACGCCTTTTAGGGCGACAAACGAGCGAGCGAGAGGGTGAGCCTTGCACGTGCGGAATTGCGAAGGGACTAAATGACTTTATGCACGGCACCCTACTAACCGATCTCTAGCGATGTACCAAATTTGAGCGCAATCGGCCCATCCGTGCCCGAGATCTGGAAGAGGCACCCTGCATGTGCGCACGTGCAAACTGGGTCCCAACTGACTTTTCTACGGCACCCTACTAACCGGTCCCTAACCATGTGCCAAATTGAGCGCAATCGGTTCTGCCGTTCTTGAGATCTAGAGAAGATAGATCCCGGCACGTGCGCACGTGCAGCAACACCCCAACCGTGACACATGGAAATGCTTTGCCTAGTGGGTGCCTACAGACATGCCAAGTTTCAGTGCAATCGGCCTAGTAGTTACCGAGATATTGCAATAGTTGCAAAACTGACACCTCTTAGTTTTGCACGTGGCACGTGCAAAAGGGGTCACCCACATGTGTCGAAAATAGCCCAATACTGGGTAGAAGGAATGAAGCTACCCTACAAAAATTACCGCAAGTACATAAATCGGTCAGTTGGTGCTGAGATATAAGCTTCTCTAAAGCGTTACAGGCCGGGCCGGGCCGGATCGAGCCGCTCATACTGAGATTTTTCCGTTATATTAGAAAAGGCTTCGCTTCGCTCGCTTCGCTCGCTCGCTCGTAATAACGTCATTGCATGAGATATTTTCAAAAAAGTCAATGCTGGCTGTTCTTGCCCTCTCGTGCCGTACATCGCAAGTGACACGCAGGTGATACTTCGGGAAAAGCCCTTTTAACACGCGCAGTGGAAGGGTTGCGAGTACTACGCCCAGTGGAAGGGGGGGGGGCGGATGTCGCCCCCCCCTAAGATCTCAGCTCCCACTGGAGCTAGAAAGACGAAATTTGGAGGGTAGGTGGGGGCCCTGGGGAACTCTGTTGTGTGTGAATTTCATGACCCTAGGTCAATATCTTCAAGGTCAAATGAGGTCAAAAGTGGTCAAATCTGCCATATTAGCGACTTTTTGCGTTTACACGCCGATAACTCAAAAAGTTACCGGCCGATTTTCTTTTTTCTTTCACTATACGAAAGAACATACAATTGTATGTATGGTGAATTTCTAGTTAATCCAACATTAAATAGGTATGGCAGTTAGAAGCCTGCTAAGCGTAAAATGTTGACGGCTGAAGCGGGATCGGCAGACGCGGGAAACGCGGCAATCACAATTTTGTGTTTACGCACTCATAACTCAAGTTGTTACCGGCCGATTTTCAAAATTCTTTGACCATAAGATTGCCTGTACATTTCTTAGTCTTCACACACAATTTTACGCGAATCGAATATAATCAGCGGTAAGGAGCGCGATGTAAAGACGGAACCGTCCCGCCCCGGCACAGTCTACAATTCAGGCGGCGCGTAACGGCTAGCGCCGGCCGCCGCGCCGCCGCGCCGCCGCGGCGGCAGGATGTTTGACTTTACACCGCTATTTCTAGAAAAGTTGTGACCCGATTTTTTTATTTCTTGCACGAGAAGATCCGCAGTTCAATTCTGGACAGGTAGCCGAAATTTCACATTAAAATCATGTTTGCGGCGCGAGTTATTGGCGAAAAACAGGAGGGGTGGGCGAAATCCGCCCCCCCCCCTTCCACTGCGCGTGTTAAAAGGGCCATGCTATTTTTTGATAATAAAACTGCATTGATAACTTTATTAGTTCACGATCTATGAGTCAATTTGATCAGAAGCGTAAAAAATGTATTACCTCTGGACTCAAGATATGTGCATGGATCCGAGTGATGGATCTATGATCTCAGTGGATCTCGAAGCAAAGTACAGGTTGGGATCTATGATCCCACCGGATCTGGCGTGAAAAATACATCTTGGATCTATGATCTCATATGATCTGACGATAAATTAAGAACATGGATCTATGATCTGAGTGGATCCCACCATGCACCACATTTGAAACCATGTTTTAAAGGGTCTCTATGCCAATAAGTGACACCAAACTATGGATTATGACGTGCGATCACATAAAATCACTCAAACAGAACGTTTGTGACTTGAAACAAGCGCTTTTTTGGGATATATGTGTGGACAAAAAATAAGTGAAGATCTATGATCTCACTGGATCTCAAGCAAAAAATGAGACTCGGATCTGTGATCCCTACGGATCTCTCGATAAATTACAGAGCTGGATCTATGATTCCGTCGGATCCGAGATCAGGATCCGTGGGATCAGATCCCAGATCCATTTTCTCGGATCTATGCGCATGTCCATGCTCTGGAGGACTGTCCTTTGATCTGCCAAAAAAAAATCGACTTTCAACTATGCGATTTTTTACGTTTTTTTTTTCTTTCTTTAATGTCACCCACTTCTTGTTGCTGCGAAGCCCAGGGCCAGGAGCAGAGTAATGGGAAGGGCGTGAAAAAATCCGCTTCGGTGTGCTACGATACGACCACCGTCCTGCAGAGGGGCTCAGGCAAGCGCTCAGAGGATTGTCGGTAGCTCAGGGGCCGGTCATGCGCTCGAGGGTCAAGCAATTCTAGTCACATGTTCAGCAGAAGATTGTGTATGGGGCAGTATGTCAATAAGAGAGTCCGTCGGTACCTCACGGGCCGCTTGGTATCTCTGGGAACCTTCGCTAGCTCAGAGACATGCCAACTGTGTGCTAGAATTAAGTGCAGTGATTCCATTGCGATTGCAGTCCACGATAAAAATAGTTGAAAAATCGAAATGGTCCCTAGCTGGAATTAGCGGCCAAATTTTGGACCAAGAACTTTGTTGGTATCTTGGTCGGGAGCCTCGATTCGCAAGCGCCCCCTCTAATTAGTATCATTGATATGTTTTCTCTGAACTCTCCGCTGAAGGTGAGATTCTAGTTCCTGGGAATATGCGAGACAAAGCTCTTTCGACAGCATGACAACAAAACTCTTTATCAAAATATTGTTGAAGCATTTTACAGTTTTACAATAAGTGACCAGCCCCTTAGCGTCGCCGATGCTGCCCAAGGTTAAGACCGACGGGATTCGAGGGAAGAAAGCTGTTCTGTTTGTTTTATGATGTCTTTGTTAATTTACAACTGGACCTAGTAAAAGTCCATTAATTTAGAACGTTACACGCCCGACTGAACATTTTCTTAAATGCGTGAAACGATAGCTAGCGATTGTTACTTATTTCCATGGCTCTTACATGATTGGCTGTAAAGGTTCAGTTTAATGTTGCTACCCGCATTAGACAATTTCACTGGATTTTTCGAGAGATTAGTAAAACTATCGACAGCGACGATATATTTTTTCGAACGCATTAGTAAAATTGCAGAAGCGAAAGAAATCGCCGCCTTGAATGGTCCGCGGTCTCAAACAATTATAGTCTACAGATCAGCCAACTCAAGGAGCTGTTGGCAAGTCCGTGCCAGGTCACCGCGCCCCTCCGCCGGGTATAAAACCGGCCGGTCCACCCCGCCCAGCACCAAACGTCCAGCAGCAGCCGCAGCAGCCACCCCGCCCACCAGTAGCCATGCAGCTTCTCGTGCTCGCCGCCCTGGTGGCCGTCGCCACCGCCGGAGCGCCCCTCGCCCACGGCAAAGTCGGCATCGTCGCGCAGGACTACTACGACCCCCAGGTCACGAAGTTGGTCGAAAGAGGTCATGTCGCATATCATTCGATTCGGCAGTTCCTCCTGAGTCCATTGGTGGTTTTCCCGACTCGCTAGCTCAATTTGATCAAGAGTTATTGACGAAAAACTAATATGACCTTGATGATGTCATAAATGACGTCACGCAAGGTCAACATTGCAAAAATGACGCATCTAACCTTGCAAGGAGTGCATCAAATCACGATTCTGTGTGCTTGAGATAGTTGGAGATTGTTCCCTGCGCCAGAATAGCAGTTTTCATTTTTCCCCATTGACTTATAATGGTGAGCATAGACCTCTGTATACAGAGGTCTATGTGGTGAGGTCACGAAAATGACCTGACCACATATGACCTTAAGGAAAAATCCGAGATATACAAGTTGTGAGACTCATAATGGATACTAGATCCTGCGAGTTTCATTTCCCTGTGACATCTCCTCTGGCAGTGAGGGCATTGCGAAGTTGCGACATCTGAAGACCGTGCAGAGGTTCACTTATGACGTCATAGGTCAGTGACCTGACCTGACCCAAATATGCGGTTGGTGTCAAAAGATCCGGCTTGAATCAAAGGTTAGGTATGCCAAGTTTCAGCTCTCTATCGCCAGCGCGTTCGGAGCTATCGCGAAAAAACCCTATGGGGGGGGGGCGGGCCTCCCCCCCCCTAGGTTTTTTCGCTCTAGATCGGAACACGCCGGTGATAGAGAGCTGAAACTATAGGCATGCCTGAATTCTCATTCAAGCCGGATCTTTTGACACCAATTGCATTTTCAGGTCACGTCAGGTTACTGACCTATGACCAGTGGCGCAGACAGGGGGGGCATGGGGGCCATGGCCCCCCCCTTTCCGCTCAGCCGGCCAGATGGCGCCCAAATTAGCGCCGACTAGGCTGATGCCGTTTTACAGAGGGAACATGAATTAAAAGTGACATGCAGGCAGGGATCGAACTCAAAATCTCTTTGGGGGTGCCTGGACACCCCAATGTTCTCCAGGGTACCCCCAAATAGGACCTGAGCCCCCGAATGTTGAACGGCGCCCCTCCGGAAACCAGAATATTCCGAACCCCCGGGATCGATGGCGCCCCTGAAGAGCCGCTGGCACACACCTGAACGGAACAGTCGCCCCATTAAAGGCTTATGGCGCCCCTCTAGAGCACCCGGCGCCCCTCTGAAGCTCACAGCTGCCCCAATCGGCCCCATCCAAGATCGATGGCGCCCCCTGAAACCACTGGCGCCCCTCTAAAGCACCCGCATTCTTCTCAAGATCACAGTCACCCTATCCGAGATCAATAGCCCCTTCAAGAGCCCAGCACCAGTTTCCCTTGAGACTGAAGTCGTCCCGCTTAAGACTAAAGTCGCCCCATTCAAGCCCAATGACGCCCCTCCAGAGCGTCTGGCGCGCTTCTGAAGATCTCAGTCGTCCTCATCCGAGGTCGCTGGCGCCCCTCAAAAGTCACTGGCGCCCATCTAAACGGAGATTACAGCCGCCCCAAAGATCGATGGCAACCCTCTGAATTCTGAAACCAATGGCGCCCTTCTAGAGTACCCGGCGCCCCACTGAAAATCACATTCGCCCCATCCGAGACAACGCCCCTTGAGACTACAGTCACCCCATCCAAGCTCAAGGCGCCCCTCCAGAGCGTCCGACGGCCTACTGAAGGCAGCAGCGACCCCATCCAAGCATTGCACCCCTCTAGAGCACCCGTTGCCCTTCTGAAGATCACATTCGCCCTATCCGAGGTTGTTAGCGCTCTCCAGTAGTCACTGACGCCCATCTGAATTGAGCCTTCAGTCGCCCCGCCCCATTCAAGATAATTAGCCTCCCCCTGAAATCACTGACGCTAGGTAATTATTTGGCAATGGGGCCTTTTCATTGACACTAAGGGCCCTTTTCAAGATGCAGCAGCCAGGCGGCGCCGAGCTGGGCTAGGATGTGCCAAGCGTTTCTAATAAGGCAGCCTCGTTAGTGCCATCCCTCGTTGCGATACCGCCCCTCAATGCGACGCCGCCCCTTCACTGTACAATGCCACCCCTCAATGCAAGTGGTGCCCCTCAGCGCAGTGCCGCCCATTATTACGATGCCGCCCCCGCCTAGCAGTGCGGTGCCGCCCCCAGCGTATGCGTTTTTTGTTGGACCTTCTGGGGGTGTTTCAACACCCACTTCTAACTCAGCTTGTGGGCCACGTCGAGGCAATCAGTAGGCAGCGTTCGAAAGAGCGTCAAAAACTAATACGATACTACTAAGATCATTTTCAAGGTTAGGTCGAACTGGTCGAAGGTCAGGTCACCAGAGACAACCGAAAATCAAATTTCACCGATTTTGACATTTTTCGACAAAGCGGCGCATAAGTCAGGATTCAGAAAGAGATTGAGCTCAGCTACAGCGCCGCAGCAAAGCGCATTCGATAGCTCTTTTTATGCTCTTTCTTATTGACTATCTCAGATTTGACTTAAGCCTCAAAATATACCTACGTTTTCGCGGAGGACGCTTATCTGTAATACCTTTTGGCTCAGACCTGCACGAGATTAGTTTAACCAGCAACGTGTTCAATTTTTAGAGACGAGTCAAATGAACTAGAATTTTACATTAAAAGGGCATTTTGAGAATTTGACCGAAGGTAAAGGTCATCACCTAACCGGGCAAGGTCATACATATTATTGCATATCAATCGATCCGTATTGTCGAGACGGAAAATAAATATATAAGGTGTTTCATTGCTCTACCATGTCTCTATCAAAAGTTATTGTCCAAAAACTACTGGAGACCTATCATGACCTGAGATGACCTCTGTAACATAAAAGTGGTCACATCACGAGTGAAATTTTCCGATTAAATGTGTCATATTTACCTGTATCCCGATGTATGAGGGTGTTTTCGTTCCGAAGAAGAGCATTTCAATTTTCTCCCATTAACCCACGCCGTGCTGGACCCCCCCCCCCCCCTAGGTTTTTCGCAAATATATCAAAAACGGCGTCGCACAGCGCCACTGTTTTTGGCACACCTGTTCATACAACTTTTCCACACATCTTGTGAAATTTTCAGACCCGTCGCTCAAGGCCAGGTCACCAGGTCACGTCAAGTGACCTTACCTCAGAAAAAGTTTAAAGGCTCCTCGCTATAGCTACACCAACTGATTGATCACTTTTGAAACTTTCAGGGATTGATAAGACTAACAATATGTATAAAATGTTTATCTCGGACTTTTGATATCGGTGACCTAGGATCAGGTCAATTTTGCGACCTCTCCATTATAAGTCAATGGGAGAAAATTGAAATGCACCTCTTTTGGACGAATGTCGTTCAGAACCCTCTTTAACATCATCGGTTCATAGGTAAACATAACACACTGAATCGGAAAAATGCACCTGTGACCCTTCTGTGTGCCCCTGAGGTCATTTCAGGTCATGAACGGTCACCAGCAGTTTTTTGGCTATACCTTTTGATAGAGAGGTGCTAGAGCCGTGAAAATGCGTCAGATGTGTTCAGCTCGTCGATACGGATCGACTGATATGCAGCATGACCCTTTCCAGTCAGGTCATGACCTTGACCTGAGGTCAACTTGTCAAAAGGACCCTTCAAGGTCAACGTATAGTTCATTCCACGCGTCTCGACGAAGGAACACGATGCTGGCAAAATAAATGTCGTCACTGTCTTGAGTCAAACGTTATTGCAGAAAAACGTTTTTCATGAAAACTGCTATTTTTTAGTTTTTGCCCTCTGGAGGCTAAACCGTTGACTTGAGGTCAAATCTGAGAGCAATAATCAAAAATGTCTGTAAAAGGGCTATCCAATGCGATTTTCGGCGGCGCTGGAGCTCTATTGGTTCCAGAGTTAGTCGTTGGCAGTTTCCAAAATTGTTGAAATAGACTAAATTTGACATTTGATGACATCTGGTGACCTGATTTTTGACCTGACCTAAACATTGAACGAAGTGTTTCCGTCATTATTTTGACGCTCTTTCGATTGCCGCTTACTACGTGTCGCTACGTTGCCCAGGAACCGAGTTAGAGGGGGCGTGAAAACGTCCCCCTCCCCCAGCACGACACGAAAAACACGGCCACCCGCACGGCATGGGCTCACTAATAGGTAATGGAGAGGTCGCAAAATTGACCTGGGGCTCAATGTAGATATTTAGTCTGGGGATTACGCAAGGCGAATGCTCGCTGAAATCGGCAGGTTTCTATGGCCCTTATTCAAAGTCGATCATGCACACTCGCATCATCAAAGGTCGTCTTCTATACTACGTCGGCCGAAGACATCCTATACCTTCGTGCCACTATATGGGACAGTCTCACGCCTCACCTATCTGGCACTCATGCAGTCATGCATGTCCACAAGTAGGGGTTGCGCGCACTAGACATCGAATTGTAAAGGTGATTTGTGAGAAAAAAAATCCAGAACGTATGTCAGCGTTCGGTCGCCTCTCCCTGCAGTCGCTGCTGGTATGACAATGAGTTGGGATATCATGGTGGATCTCATGGTCTTAAATGTTCAAATCTTTTTTGATTCCAATTTAGGCAATTAGTCGCAGCAGGAATCCTACATACATGCGGTTTGAGATTCTAAGCACAGCCACCGCGGTCAACCACAGGAGGCTGCAGCCCACAGGTCACTTTGAATCAGTGAATTAACCTGTATATCTTTGTTTTGCAAAGAATAAAGATTGTGCCTATCGACCAACGCATATTTTACCGTTTCGAATTCGCATGGATGCGTATTTTGAGAATAAAATATCTGTAGCCTGAGATCGTTTCCTATATCGTGCTAAGTTCATCAAGATCAAGGTTTTTTATAAAAAAGACCGGGCTGCAAATTGCATTAATTAGATTTTGTGAAAAATCAGCGAAACCTGGTTCATACACTGAAAAAATTTTTTACTCACTTTTCTGAGTAATGACTGAGTTGCCATTTTGTCCAATGGTAAAACTCACTCTAAATCCGCGTACTCAGGTAAAACTCAGGGCGGAACGCAGGTAAAACTCGGGCAAAAC